AATCAATTTTCTTCAATTATCAAATGATGTTTTAACTTCCACTTGTTCAATTAGTTTCTCTTTCTTTAATGGGGAGAACATAGAGCAAACCTGGGAAATGGAAGGATGTCTAACTCCAAGATGTCCAGCCAAAGTCCATTCAATGGAAGGAAATGGACTAATATTCTCCTTGCTGCCAATATCTTGTGAGTATCAGCGTGTTTGCTTGGATGCTTATTGTTTCCAGACAAATTTGTTTGCCCGTTTTTTGCCTGTAGCTTGCTACAGCGAGTCCACTAAGGATTATTATTATTATTATTTATATTACTATTCTAATTCTCCTTGCCACTTGTCTTTTACACTTTTTTTTTTGGGACCAAATTTACATAGAAGCTATTCTAGTGGCTTATTATTTATGAACCGTGATCTCAGAATGTATATTGCACAACTTGCAACACAAGGAAAGCTTTTATTGTGGGGAGCTAAGGTAAAGTTGCCATTAAATATTTGAACTTACTTCCTTAATATTGTTACATATTTACTTGTTGACTGTGTATTGCTAGATTAACAGTCTTATTGACAAGGGACAATTGTGGAGGCTTGCCACTTCTTCCTTTTTGCATGCAAATATTGGGCACCTTATGGTCTGGTTTGGATTTTCTTGCCTGAATCTTGTTTGTGAATGTCTTTTTTTTCCTGTATCTTAAAAATATTACTTATTTCCTGCAGGTTAATTGTTACTCCTTAAATTCCGTTGGTCCCACTGTGGAAAATTTCAGTGGTCCTAGGAGATATCTTGCGGTTTACTTTGTCTCAGCAATTGCAAGTAATGGCTTATATTCTTACTTCAACAAATAAAAAAACCAATAGGTGCTCACCTACAAGTATTCTGATCCCATAATTTCTAGAAACTCAGGTTCAGCAATGAGTTATTGGTACTGCAGAATGCCTGCCGTAGGTGCATCAGGGGCGATTTTCGGCCTAGTAAGTTGTTTGAAACATTCTTTTGTGATCCAAATCAAATATTAATTTTAACTGTGTGGATGATGGACTTAATAAATTTATCTGTATTTTCATTTTTTCCCCCTAGCTCAACTGTTGGAGCTGATTCCCTTTATAATTGCATTGGACAAGATAAAAAAACTATTTTGAAAATTTATCTTTTGCAGTGGCACTGAAGTTCCGTGGTTATGTCAGAATGTTAATGCCCTTGTATAGTATAATATGTATCTTCATCTCCAACAACCATCAACTTTGAATAAAGGCTCATCAGTTATGGCATTGGATGTTTAAACTGGAAAAAGTTTAGACTATAATGATGCCACTGACATACAAATTAACACCACAGAATGACAAACACAAATGCTGATTCAATTTCATCTGTCTTGTACAAATAAAAAGTGATGGAGGAAAAGAAGCGTGGACAAAGGATGATCAGGGTGGGGTTATTATAATTCATCAAATACCTAAAGACAGTCATGCTTACTAGCATCTGCTAATTTTTTTATGATCCTTTACTATGGACAAAAAAAAGGAAAATGATATATATGAGGTGAGCAAATGGTGTGGCAAGGGATGGTTATTGATGATGCTGGGGAAAACTTACGTCATTTCTTCCCCCCTTACTTAAAATTTGTTCACATTCGCATCTGTCTCAATGACTTCAATGGTTTACCTTCATCTGTAGGAGTAGCTCGAAAATGGATATGTTTGTTTTCTCTTCTTTATTCTCTATTTCTAATCAGCTATGCATGATTTAGGTTGGATCAGTTGCTGTGTTTGTGTTGAGGCACAGAGAACTGGTAGGAGGAGGCAAAGAAGATTTACAGCATATAGCGAATGTAATTGTCCTAAATATGGTAAGTTTTTTCCCTGTCTTGACTTCTTTTCAAGGTCCACTATAATGAGTTGTCAGTTAGTAACTCGGGATTTGTTTTCTAAAGCTGGCCAACTCCTTTTGTGTTGGCTACCTTTTTCTTTACATTAATTCGCATTTCACAGGCCTGATTATTCCTGGAACAGATATAGCATTTGCTAGAATGCTGTGTTTAAATCTCACATATCTTGACTAGCATTATACACTTCGATAAGAAATGCATGTTGTGCATGTTATTAGAAATTATTTTTGTTTCGTTCTGAATATGTGGGGAAAATTACTTACATTAGTTGATACTTGATGATCCAGGACCCTGTTTCCTTGCATCTTTTTGATTTGACGATGATCATCTATTGCAGGTCATTGGGCTATTATCAAATGGCATTGACAACTGGGGTCATGTAAGCATCACATTGCCCCCTCTCATAACCATCTCATAAGAATCAAGTTATAGTTAATAGGTCTGGAGATAGTATTTCATTAGTAAATTTGGTGTAATCAGATGCAGTTATTCTGGTTTGTATCGTGGTAATAAAACTTCATGTTGTAGTGATTTTGATGTTTAATTTGACAATGTGCTTGTCAGTTAGGGGGCTTGATTGGTGGAGCCGTTGCATCCTGGTTGATTGGACCAGCGTGGAAGCATGAATCTACAACTAGGGATGGAAGAAGAGTGTTCATTGATAGGGCACCAATGTATAATATCTTCCAAATCAAGAGACTTCCTAGGCAATGGAAATAGATAGATCCACACAACTATAGTCTCTATCCACACTCTGAAATGAAAAGGAAAAAAAAAGTATTCTGTATAATATCCATTTGACTGTAGAAATTGTTTTCATGAATTCATTGTGATATTTTCTTTTGTAAGTGTAAATGGTGGAAGGAGGCTTGAATCTCAGCGCTGCCCAGACAGGATTGGGAGGCATCAGATGCTCAGAAGCAAAAAATAATAATTTTTTTTATTCTGCTTTTTAGTTGCCTCAAATAAAAGTAATTCAATAAACTGATTATGTTTGGAGTTCAATGTCTTTTTAATGTAAAAGAAAAGCAAAATGTGGTGTTAAATAATCTGTTAATTTTTAATATTAAATAAGTAATATGTATGATTAAGGAAAAGTGTGAGGGCTTTTTTTTTTTTTCCCCAAATATTCTTCTAGTCTTTAATGTAAGATATATTTAATTAAATTGATTAAATTAAAAAAGTTAGGTAAGTTAATTATAAAAATATGACATGTTTTTTTTAATATCATAATCATCTTTTTTAATATCTTTTCTTTTTTTTTTATTTGATTATGGTTGATGGGGTATTAATAAAAATGATTTAGAAAAATTGATAAATATGAGAAATATGTCTTACATTTAAGATAAAAATCAACTCAATAATTAAATCATACATGAAGGGCCGAAGGAGTAATAAATTTTAGTAGGTAGAGAAGGTGACTTAGATTGATGGTTTGTAAATTAAGGTTGTGTTTGGGATCACGTTTGGGCCCCATCTATAAGTTAAGAGGCAGCGTTTAAAACATGTTTGGGTTCACATTTCATCAATCTGACTTCTGAGGTTGAAATGGACTTCTAGAAGAAGCTCTTTTGAAGCTGCTTTTTTTTTTGGGTGTTGAGGGTGTTGGAAAATACCGTTAAAACATTTATTTGGGTGTTAAAATTTTTTACCTACCTGACCCTACATGAATTTTCTCTCACCTCACTTAAAAAAAAAAAAACACACACACACACTCCTATTTGAAATGGTCACATTATATATATTTTCTTTCTAACAATAAATTAAATTTCCTTATTTTTAATAATTTTTTTCATTACTTCTTTTAAAATGGTCACATTATATATATAATTTCTTTCTAATAATAAATTAAATTTCTTTATTTTAATAATTTTATTTTCCTTACTTCTTAAAAATAGTCACATTATATATATATATATATATAATATTAGATATGTACTATTTAATAAAATTCATATTCTTTTAAGTCATTTTACATCCAAATTTATTTTTACATTTATCATCCAAACAAGTTTCAACTTCTCAATAGATTTTTTTTTCTAAAACCTAATTCAAACATAAATCACTTATCTTATCTGACTTTTACTCAATTTGACTTTGTAAAAATCAAATTGAAAAAAAAGTTAGTTCTACGTTGCTATTCCAAACACATCCTAAGATATTGGGAAGAATTGGGTTCTATTTTTCAATGGAGAATGAAGCAGCTTTAGGAGGTGTTTAGTTATTGCCAAAACTACTTTCTAAAAGTATTTTTTTTTAAATTAAGATAAATTTTTTTCACATATTTACTTCATATATATATCGTAAATCACTTTAAAATCAAATCACATCCAAATACTCCCTTAATCTTACTACTATTATCAAAAAAATTCTTAAATACAAATATATCAATTATAATTTTCAAAATAACAATGAAAGTAACAATAAACTAACAAGATTAGTAAGATTGAAAAAATATATTTTTTAAATTAATATACCAAATTGAAACTCTATATAAAATTAGATGATTATAAATGTCCTTTTTCCTATATACAAAATTAAGTGTTATCTCAACTTAAAAAAAAAAATTTCAAGTGTTGCAATCATAAATATATCAAACATCCATATATTATTATTTTTGGCCATGGTATATATTATTAAACACTAAACTTTATATAACAAATAACTTTAAAAAAAAAGATATGTCAATCAATCTATTTTATCTTCCCTCTTTTTTCCGACCCACCATCAATATTTGTGCTGACCTACACTGCTTTCAAGCCATTCAAATTTAAAAGCCAAGATAACCGTACGATCACAAAGCGTTTTAGTACCCACTAGATCGCAGCGGTTCATTTGGAGCCCCGAGTAGCATCGTGTGGGGGTGCGGCATGAGAGCCAGAGGGAATGCATGTGAGGGGGGGTACATCTACTTGAACGGTCACAAAATTTCAAAATGCTTCAAAAAGAAAGCGGGCTTTCATTCATTTCGCTCCATCCGGCTTTTCCTTCTTTACTTTTTTTTTTTTTTTTGGTTTTATTTTTTTAAATTTTTTTCTCAACGCTTGCATCTACGGACGGCGACAAAATTTTCAAGTTTCACAGAGTTGGTCTTCGCTCTGGTTTTAAATTTCGAAATAGGAGCCAACACAAAACCCCGAAAACAAAGCTTAAATCTTGCTCTCTTTCTTACTTGTAGTCTGACACACTGCCTTCGACGGCGGGAGGGGTGGACTTGGGTATCGAAGATCCGAGCTCAAATCTGAGCTTCTGGGTTCTTCACTGCAGGTTTTTCTCGATTCGGATATTGAAATTTCTCAATTCTATGCTGTCTCTGCTGTTCTTTTCCTTGCTGCTTGAGCTGGACTTCGTCTGTTTCTCCTGTATTAGCATGCTTACTTGCAAATTGGATTTACTTTTTTTCTTTTAATCTTGGGGAATGGGGTGGGGAGAGCCGGTTACTTTGTTGGTTTATGATGAAATGGTTTAGATCTTATATGGGGTTTGCGTAATTATGCTTGAGAAGTAAGGGTTGAAAGCAAAAGATTTCCACATTTTCCATATCAAATTGATTTTTATTGGAAGAGTGTATCACATTTCATTATTTCCTATCTGTTTTGTTTCTTCCCCCTTTTATATACCACAGTACTGCTTATGGAGCAGCCACATGTAGATTTTGAAAGGTTTAACTCTGCGCAACATTGCTTTTAGTTATATTCGGCTTAACTTCTTCGAATGCCTTGTTCATGGAAAATTCTTATGTTTACAGGACTGTCATTACTGGCCATACGTCTTAGTTCATTTAGGGGTATTAAAGTGAGGCGTTATAATATAATGTTCAATGTTCCCAACTCCCAAATAGTTTGCAAGAAAAGTACTCTCAATAGTTTCATTGGGATCAGATCGCTCAGGGCATTAGAAGTAAACTATAAGGACACTGTGAGGGTAATACATTTTTGGAGAGTGAGATTCAACTAGGTCGTGAGAGCAAGGTAAATGTAGGTCTATTGATATTTTATATCTGATTCGCCTAGATACATGCAATTTTGTCTGATAGCAGTCTTCATTTCAATTTTTGTATTGTTCATACACTGATTTAGAATTATTTTTATTATCCAATTAGGAAAGATGAGCTTGGATCTATCTATGTACTGATAATTTTCATTTGCATTCTTGTCTTCAGCAATGGAGTCTCTTCCAGATGCTATTCTTCAATTCATCATGTCCCATATCAATAATGCCCGAGATGTAGCAGCCTGCAGTTGTGTTTCCAAGAGATGGAAGGACTCGCTGCCTTATATCAAAACCCTTTACTTCCCTCGCAATTCATTCGATAACAATTCTGGTGGGGAAACACCTGACAACATTGTAAGGAGAATGATATCACAAATTGTGCAATTGGAAGAGCTAGTTGTGTATAGCCCTTTCTCTTGTGCTGGTCTTGCGTCCTGGCTATCACTTGTAGGTCTATCTCTTCGCCAGCTGGAGCTCCGAATGGACAATATTCTTGACACTCAGGCTTTGAATGAGAACCCATCAAAGTTGGACTGTGTGGGTGCAGCAAGGAATTTGGAATCTCTAAAACTATGGGGTGTGTTAATGGTCAATTCCCCAAAATGGGATGTCTTCCAAAACCTCAAGAACCTTGAAATAATTGGTGCTAGGTTGGAGGATCCTGTGCTGAGTGTGGTGCTTCGGTCATGTCCCTATCTAACTAGGTTGTTACTGCTTGGATGTGAAGGAGTTAGATCAGTCTCAATTGATTTGCCTTATCTAGAGGAATGTAAAATGGATTTTTATGGTTTGGGGAACATTTCTCTTAGTCTAAAATCCCCAAAGATCGAATCCCTTGAGGTACAAGGCTGTAGTTGGATCCGGGTACCTGAAACCAATCATTTGAGGAATCTTTCAATTTCTAACAATGCAGGTAGTACATTGTTGTGTTGTCCTTACTTATGTTTTTCCTTTCCATTTTTGCTCATCTTACGTTTCATTACATGGTAACTGTTTCCAGGAAGAGTATACATGGTTGATTTTGGAAAACTCACGGCTCTAGAGTCTTTGACTATGAGAGGGGTCCAGTGGTGCTGGGATGCCATATGCAAAATGCTGAAACTGTCAAGTGAAGTGAAGCATCTCTACATGAAGGTTGAATTCACTGGTGATTTTGAGGCTCTTCAACCGTTCCCAGAGATTGATTTTGTTGACTTCTTCAACAGCCATCCCAAACTGCACAAATTCGACATTCATGGAGCCATGTTTGCAGCTCTTTGTCAGAAAAACAGTCTGAAACATGTAATTTCCGAAAGCATTTTGATGTCAGATTTCATTTTTATCTCTATTGCAAGGTTCTTTATTAAGAAAATGAGTTGTGGATGTCTTTTACAGCTCAGCCTCACATTGATTCTTAAAATATTTATCCACAATTCATATATTTATTAGGAATTTTTTATTCAATCTTCTATAACATTTAACTAGTGGAGATGCTCACTTATA